CGGTTGTTGTGAGGACATAAATTGTGGTGGACCAGATCCGGGAAACGGTTGTTGTGAGGACATAAATTGTGGTGGACCAGATCCGGGAAACGGTTGTTGTGAGGACATAAATTGTGGTGGACTAGATCCGGGAAACGGTGGTGGAGGATCCGATGGCATTGAAAAATGGCCCATGTTAATTGGATGACTATTGTTTATTTGATTTTGTGCTTGAAAGCTGTCCTCATTTAACTTTAAATTTACTTCAGTTAAATAGTTTTGAGTATTTGCCATTTTTTTATCTTATATGTTCAAAAATTTATAACGAGAAATAAAATATTCATATTAATTTATAACAGTTAAAGATTATGTAGCATTTTTCTATTGTACATAACATACCAATATTAAATATATGTATATAATATTTCTGAAAAAATATATTAAAATTACAGTTAGATAAATACGCCACATCCACCTAATTACCATGACATTAATGTTAACAAAAATTGTCATAACAGATAATTTGTTAAACGATTGAGGAACGCTTATGTTTGTCATAATAATCATATTAATGGGAATATACTATATACATACGTGATATTTATGATATTAGCAGAAAGGAAAAGGAGTTAATCCCTAAATTCATTTATTTTATAATGAATAGACTGCGTAACGATAATACAATAATCGTGTTTCCAAAATGGTTGAAAATGGCAAATAATTTTTTGTTTACTTTTTTTTGGTGAGCATTGATTGAAGATCGATACCTGATTTGATGTAATTGTTTACCAAAATAATACTCATGCAGATTAGATTTGTTTTCTCTAAGCAGAATTTCCATTAAACATGCTAACGTAATCCTGTACCCCAATAGGAACATGAAAGATCGTCGCAGATGCACAATTAGAATCAATGTTTATATAATGATCATTTCCGATCTGGCTCCAGAGGTCGGCCTTCCGTTTAACTTTTTGCACGTAAAATACAAAATTTTAAAAAAGATTTCTCCATAACTACCTAGCAAATTTGGTGATAAATTTTTTTATTTAATTTTACGTATGATAAAAAATTTTTCATCAAATTTGGTTAATTACATCTGGAAACTTATTTCTACATCAAATTTTATATTAAAAAATGTTTAATATATATTTAATATTAGAATTCAATATTACAATAGTATGATAAAAGATTTATTATTAAAAATATTAAAATTTAATATATTAAAATTTAATATATTTATAATATAAAAATTTTGTAATATTAATTTTATAATAAAATTTAATATTAATTCTATATTAATCTAAATATAATATTAATTTATTAATATAATTTAATATATAAATATTATAAAAATAACTAATAATAATTTAATAATATTTTTTAATACAGTCATATCTAAGCTATAACCCTACTGGGTTATGTTCTAACCTGAGTTAAATATATAGATCGCATCACATTGTAGATTCAGGTTTTAATCAAGATTTATAGTCACAATGCGTTTACTATTCTAATGGTAGATGACTTTTTGATTTCAACAGAGGTATGCTTAAAGTTTTGATAGTAAGTTGTTTGCAATTTCAACAACGGATAGGTTTGCAATTTTAACCGTGAGTTTTTCAAGATTTTAAATGTAAGTTAATGGGAAATGTTAATGAAGTTTAGTATAAAATATAGTACTTATATTTATTATTCATTAGGTTACAAAATTTTAATTCATCATACAGGCAAAATTCAAGGTTTACTAAAATTTGCGATTGTATAAGTATATGAAAAGTTTTGCACTACATAACTTATATATTATTAATACTTGCTATCGCACAATAAGTTAGTAAATATAAAAGCTATTTAATTAATGAACTTGCTAAAATATTTTATTTAAAATTGTTATAAATTCTCAAATAGTAGTATAGCTTTAGTTTAATTTTGGCTCTGATTAAGCCAAATTTTGTAATTTCACACTTATGCTTTATTTTGAAAATTTACACTATCAATATTTATTCTTAATTACTAAATAAAATGATGCTGATATTGTATAAATTTAATCTTTTATTTCTAATTAGTTATTAAGACCTGTATTGTATAAAAAATCTCTAGCTCATTCATAATTTACATTTCTGGTATTATATAACTACATTATATAGCTATGTACCTTATTTTAATTTGGTTCTAACAACATGTCATTGTATAATACTATAGGTTTGATCAGGTTTTGACAGGTTAATGAACAGAGCCTGAACCCAACCCAATACTTTATTAGGCTTGTCTCGAGCCTGACCCAATTTATAGCAGGTCTAAAATTTGGGCCTGACTCAGGGCCTAACCTGATTTGACTTGCAAAAATTCAGATTAAATCTAGCCTGTTTTATACCCTAATGCATGCAGACAAAAAATTTTCAAATTACATTTTGATATAATCTTCATAATGTTTATGCAATATATTAAAAAAGTAACTATTTTTAGTCAAATGCATCAAAAATGTAACTTTAATATCACCTTGTGCAGATACTAAGGGTCTGTCACTACTGAGTTACTGGTAAAACTGGTAATTATCTAAAATCTGATTGGCTATTAAATGCAATAGCCAGTTAGATTTTAGATAGTTATCAGTTTTACCAGTGTATTGCTATGCTTTAGACTAATTAACATATATGATTAGTTAAAGAATAATTCACAATATTTAATAAGCAAATAGATAAGGCATATACTTATTGCACCAGTGATACAAAACCAAAAAAGAAATTTTTTTTTGTAGATCACAAGATTAGATGCAATATTTGTATAATATAAGATTAAAAATATTGTTAGTAACTCAAATTTTATATTTTAATAAAAAAAATTCCTAGTCAAATTATACTATATGACTCTTCTTATCAATCAAAGAATATGTCATATCTGTTAATATATAAGTGTTAATTTATAATAAAAACTATAATAAAACATATGAATTTACTATAAATTTTAAGCTTTACATTATTTTCAACTTACAAATTAACTTATTTTTAAATTTTGAGGTTAAGTATATTAAAAATAGTAGATTAAAGTTATTTAGAATATTTATTAAATTTTTGTAAAAATTGTATATTTTCTTAATAAAATTTTGTAAAAAAAAACTTTTTTTAATTTTAAAATAATAATTATATGTAAAATTTTATGCTAAACAAATGTAGAAAATAAAGATAGATTATCTAAATAAAATAAAAAGTTTGCTATATACAAATATTAAAATTTTTAGGTTATTTATATAAAACTTTTTTTACTAAAACAATATATTTTAACTTTTTAAGCTAACTTGTTTAATATATAATTTTATATTTTACTAATTTTGTTATTTTGAACTTTTTACTAAATAAAAAAATTAATTTAAAAAATTTTTTAAAAAATATTTTTTATATAACTTTAATTAATTTTTTTACTTAGTAAAAGTTTGAAATAACAAAATCAATAAGATACAAAGTATATAAAATTATATATTATATAGATAAACTAAAAATTTAATATTTGTATATATCAAACTTTTATTTTATTTAGATAACTTATCTTTATTTTATAATTATTATTTTAAAATCAAAAAAGTTTTTTTTTGCAAAATTTTATTAAGAAAATATATAATTTTTATAAAATTTTAAAAAGTGTTCTAAATAACTTTAATTTACTATTTTTAATATATTTAACTTCAAAATTTAAAAATAAGTTACTATATATTTCTGAAAATAAACTACTCTTTTTAAGTACAAAAAATTAATAATAAGGGTTTTGGTTCTATAGTTTAGCAGTTAAGCTTCTAAATTTTCACAGGCTAGATCAATGGTTTGAGTTAAACTAGAGGCAATTTTAATAAAATTTGCTTTTGTAATTTACAGGGGTTATATAAATCAAATACAAAACCCTGTGAAAAGTTCAAGTGTAATATAAGACCAGAATAAAAAGTTTCTAGAAGAAGACCAGGTTGTGGAGTATAGATACTATGAGTGATAGCAGTATCACAGAAAGTCTAGACTGTAGAAGATTATGCATATAAGTTCTCTAGTTAGAGTAACTCAGAGGCAATACCAATATCTTATCACTTTTATATTTGGTAATACTAATATCTCTATACCCAACTTGTAGAATACTTGTTTAGAAAGATGATTAACAGATTGTGCATATAAGTTCTAATATAGAATAGTGTTGAGTACTTGTTTGAAAGAGTGATTTAATATTACTAAAACTAGAGTAGTGAGAGAAGCAGTAATACACGACTATAGGCTGTAGTAAAGGATTATATCTTAACTAGATTTGGAAATATCTCTAATATCGGTAAAATAACTATAAAAGGCTACTCAGCATAAAAAATATAACCTAGTCCTAGTGTTTCTATGAACTGAACTGAACTGAACTTTTGGCCAAGTTCAAGTTCAGTTCAAAATTGAACTGAACTTGAA